GCACGACACACCGGCGCAACTGCTCATGCTCGGGTGCATCCCATTTGGATCCGGTCCAAAAGTCCTGCGGATCGCAACCGGGTTCACCGAGCAGGGCTTTGACCCGGCGCTTTTCGTTGGGCCCCCCCACGGTGGCACTCACCCGACGCAGCCGGTCAAACGCACCGACTGTAGCAAAGAGCTCCACCGGCTGTCGAGGCTTTGCGCCGTTGCCCCAGATCGGGCCGAGGATCGCATCAAAGAGCGTCTCGATGTTGAGCTCGCGCTCGAGCTGGATGGCGAGAGCCCTGCCTTCCTTGGCTGCGGCATGGTCGAGCGCGCGCGCCGCCTCGTCGTGCGCGTCGTCGTGCAGCGACAGTTCGGCCGCTCTCGCCTCAAACGCCTCCTTGCGGATGCTAAACGTGCGAAAGTGATGCTGATACCTTGCGCCCGATCCACACTCGGCGTCCTCGATCTTGGGATGCCGCATGCTTTCATCCAGCGTGGTCGATGCCGTGCCCTCGCCAAAGACGCCGTGGGTGGTATCGCTGACCAGCGCAATCATCGCCGTGACGTCGAGGTTGATCTTGCTGGTGGTGCGCCAGTGCGGTTTGCTGGGTGCTTGTGCGATCTTGGGTAGCGCCATATCCCCGTGCGCTGTCAGACCGCCACTTGGAGGTTGGGCAGCGAGATGGACGGGCAGCGAGCGGTATCCAAACACCATGTCGACGTTGTGCCGTTCTGCTTCTTGCACGATCGCGGCTAGGCGGTGGTTGAAGCGGTCCCACTCTGGCATCTGGTAGAACGCGGCGAGCGCCTCCTGGGCATCTTGCGCGTCCACCGACGGCAGAGGCTGCGAGGGCTCTTGAAGCTGCATGCGAGTAACGACGATCTCTACCCGTATGGGGACCAAGGGCAAGCTCCTGCCGTCCTCTTCGGACCGCTTGACGCGCGCGCTCGCCTCTGTATCCGCCGCAGCCCTTAGTTCGTGGATGAGCTTGGTGAGCGAGCACTTTTGCGCCGCCAAATCCCACGCGATCGACGCTGCGGCAGTCGAGCACTGCGGTGTATGGCGGTGCTCGTGGAAGCTGTCTCCCCCCTCCGAATCTGAATCCATGCTCGAGTCCTGTTCGTCGACCATGTAGCTCTCTGCCTCCCTAAACTCCTGCCTGAGCCGTTCGGGCTTGACGATGTACATCCTCGTCCACGAATCGCCGTTGTTCGCCACGACGTCGACCTTGACGCTCTGGCTGTTGACGTTCTGACCCCTTGGTTTGCGCATCTTGTTCTTGCGACGCAGTGCTGCGCTCATGCTAAATGCGAACCGGTCCTGGATCGACACCACGGGCCCGCGTGTTAATGCAACATGGAGGATCTCTTCCCAGAAGCGGATATGGTGGGTGCCGTTGGAGTACGGATGCGGCTGGTCCCAGTTACCCCTCTCTGCGGCCAGCCGCTCGAGGGCGGTGAGTTCGGACTCGACCTGGCTTCGCAGCACCGTGAGGCCCTTGAGCGAGGTCGAGGCGAGCATGCGTTCGCGATGCTCGTCCCACCGCGGGCCTGCGATTGGACAGTATGCTCTCGCAAGCGTCTCGGCGTCCGGCAGATACTGCGCCGCATCGACCGAGGGAAGCAGCGCAGGCGCGTAGCTGTAGGCCGGTGCGAGCGTGAGCCAGGCGCGGTAGGTGGTGGCGAAATCTTCGATCGAGGCATGTACCACCTCGAGGCCATCGCGCATGCGCGAGGCGGGAATCGCTGGCGGAGCCATGTTGGCCACAGTCGCCGCGGTGCACAGTCGAGATTGCAAGCTACGAGGTCGAGCCCGTGCTGGAAAGGCGGTTGGTGTCAAGAAGGTGCGCCTCGTCCAAGCGAGTGGCCATTCTGAATAAGCTCTTCTGACAGTCGACAGTCGACAGTCGTGTGGAGTTGGCCGGCAATTTCAAGTGCAGCCGGCCAGCCGACGGCGATGCACATTTCGGCCACTTTTCGGCACAGCTTTTTCCCAGCGCATTTCAACCACACCCAAACGGCAAGCAGAGACAGAGAGAGAGAGAGGCAAAGATGAAGACATGTCTATGTGATTAAATGCGATGCGAGAGCTATCTACGGATGATGGTATCGACGAAGCGCAGTGGATTTTGTGCCTTAGAGGTTGGCCTGGGTCTTGGAGTTGACGGCGACGAACCTGTAGCGCACGTCTCCGTTCTTGAGACGCTCGATGGCGCCGTTGATGCCCTCCTCGGTCATGGGCACCTCCTCGATGATCGGCTTGATGGCGTGTCGGGCAGCGAAGAGGAGCATCTTCTCGTGCACCTCACGCGTGGCGACGAGGGAGCCCTGGATCTTGAGCTGCTTTCCGACGATGGGCATGTAGGGGAAGACAAAGTCGTCCGAGTCGACCGAGAGCGGGATGATGGTTGCGTCCTTCTCGAGCACCTTGAGGTAGGTTTTCCAGTCGGGCTGTGCGCTGGTGGTGACCATGAGGAAGTCGACCGGCTTGACGCCCTCGAGCTTGGGGTTGTTCTTGGCCGCGACGAATTCGTGCGCGCCCAGCTTGATCGCCTCGTCCTTCTTGTTCTCGGAGCCGGAGAAGACGACGACGTCGCAGCCCATCTTGTTGAGGAACTGGATGGCGAGGTGACCGAGACCACCGATGCCGATCACGCCGACGCGGTCGTACGGCTGGATGCCCGCGTCGTGCATCGCACCGAACACGGTCGCACCACCGCACTGCAGCGGCGCAGCATGCTTGAGCTCGAGACCGTCGGGGATCTTGTGGCAGAACTCCTCGGTGACGACGAAGCGGTCACCGAATGACGCCTGGTCGAGGTCGGCGTTGCCGTACATCTTGTTCTCGTAGCAGTTGGTGTCGCGGCCCTTTTTGCAGAACTTGCAGGTGCCGCACGAGGCGTGGTTGTAGCCCCAGCCGACGCGGTCGCCCTTCTTGAAGTTCTTGACTCCCGCGCCGACTTGGGAGACGACGCCGACGCCCTCGTGGCCGATGACCATGTCCTTCTTGAGGTAGTGGATGTCGGTGAAGCAGAGGCCCGAGTGCGTGATGTCGATGACCACATCGCGCGCGTTGACGGTGCGGTCGGCGCCCTGCGCCTTGACGACCTTGCCGGACGAAGAGCCCTTGAAAACAGTGCCGAGGTTGACGGTGGTCATGGTGCCAAAATTCAGTATGTGGGTTGGATGGATGGGATGGGGATGACGGCAAGTAGTGGCTGGTTTATATGCACTCTTTTCTGTCCTTGCCAAGTCGGGCGTGGCCTACGGGTGCAAGAAGAAAACTTGCCGGATCGGAGGCCAGACTCTATTGCCGATCGCCCTCGGAAGAAAAGAAGAACGAGGCAAGGCGATAGCGATAGATAGGGCTGTCCAACCTCCACCTGGCGAGCACGCCAGGTCCTGTCCTCGGACATAACAGGCGTGGATGGATTGCATGCTGCTGGTGCGCCCTCGATCTTCTTTGCATCTGACACACGTTTTGTCGTAATTGCGCAGAGGGCCGTTGCAAACTTTGGCGTGACGCAGCACACGACACCCTCGAGGCCAGCGTTTTTGTTGGTCGCCAGCCCTGCTGCAATGAAGCGCCACGCGATTGTTTGGCGATGATGACATGCGACATCCTCCAAAACTCGCCTTCAAATGCCGGAAATGCGGGTTTGGGCTGATTTTTCCTCGTTTGTTTTCGGGCCAAATTCTGGCTAAATTGGCAGTCCACGCGAGCCATGCGAGCCAAAACCAGCCAGCCAAACAAAACCGGCATGGAAGCCGAGAGAAAAAGCCGAACGGCCGGGTCGATGCTCCTCACTCCTTCTCATCCTGGGAGGCAGGAGGCAGGAGGCAGCAAGCGAAGCGCACACGTGGAGTAGTGCAACACACAACCCTTTCCGCAGGTTCGCTTGCTCCTTCGCACGCACATCTGCGCATGAAAATGCGGACTTAGCGCGGCATCTCACATCGGTAGGGCGAGCGGCAATGCAGTCGGGTCGGCACCATTCGCCTCGCTTCATTTCGGCGCCCGAGATGAATGGGTGGCGTTGGCTCGGGCGTTGCGAGGCGGGTGAAATCGTAGATCGCAATCTCGATCTCCCCGATGTGTCCAAGTCTCGGTGTCTACAACGGGCCTCTGGGCTCGCGATTTTCATCTGGCCGCGGCAAAAATCCGAAGAAGCTGCAGGTTGGAACGGCGGCTGAGCGAAGTTGTCCGCGTGGCCCTGCATTCGGGCTCCAGGGTCCTGAATAAAAAACGGGCTCCAAGACAGCGGGGAAGCGGCTGTCAAAATGGATCGTTCCTGCCGCCCTGCACTCGAGGGAGACGAAGCTTGTTCGTATGGCCTCGAGTCAGCACCTCAGCTAAGCGCAGATTCATCGCCACGACAGCCATGTCGCATCAACGTCGGGAGAAGCCGACATGAGGAGAAGGCGACGAGAGGCAAAGCCGAGTCGAGAGCGTGACCGTACAGGGAGGCAGCCGTGGGCGCCAGAGGGGGCGGGCGCACTGGGCTCCAGATTGGGCTCTAGACAGGGCAGCGCTTTCCTTCGGGCTCCTCTCCGGGCCATTTCCTGTGACTTTCGGCGAAATGCGCGCCGGAATTCACACTCTGCTCTCTCAAGCTCGCTGAGAAGATCGAGCTTCTCACATCGCGCCTCGAGCCTCGGGCCATCCGTGGCTTGCTCACCCATTCCTACACGGTCCCTACCACAACAACTTTGGCTTCAGCCTCGAGGGTGCTGCTCTCTTTCGGCGGGCTTTCCGGCGAGTCACACGCCAAGTGCACACAGCGTATGAGCACATCCCCACGCCGCTGCATCCGCTGCATTCGACAAGCTTTGCATGCAGGAAAGCGAGAGAGCTGCTGAATGAAGTCGTAACCATACGACTCCTTCCGCTCAAATAGCCCCACCTCGTCGTCGGATCTCGCCCGCCTCAGTGTCCATCACGACATCCTCGCATCCCAATCACGCCATCTCAGCAGCCACGAATCCACCTTGACTAGCTCACCGCATATAATATGGAACACTTGGAGCTCGTGGCCCACGCCAAAGAGTTTGACGAGTCCCTTCACCACCATCAAGAAGAGGCGGCGCACGTCTCCCACGACAACGCGGCCAACCATGCCACCACTTCGGCAGAGAAACCGCCGCGCGCTGCTCACGACGTAGACAAGCAAGAGCCCGCCAACACCGCCGCACCGCATCCGATCGACGCAGCGACGACGAGCATTGACCCCGACAATGCACCCGCAAAGGACCGCGGTTGGGCCGCCTGGCGCTTCGTGCTCGCGTCGGCGACGATGGAGTTCATGGTGTGGGGCGCCTCGTACGGCTACGGCTCCTTCCAGGACTACCACCAGCACAACGACGCCTCGCCCTTCCACACGGCCTCGCTCACCTCGACCTCGTCCATCGGCACCACGTTGCTCGCCGGGCAGCACTTTATCCCGCTCGTCGCCTTCGGCCTCTACTCGATGTTCCCCTCGCTCATCAAGACGTTCACCTACACCTGCGTCGTTGCCTCGGCACTCTCGCTGCTCATCGCCAGCTTCGCCCAGTCGGTGGCGCTGCTCATCGTCTTCCAGGGCCTGCTGCTCGGCATCTTTGGCGGCAACCTCTTCACCACCACCATCCTCTGGCTGCCCAACTGGTTCGACAAGAGGCGCGGCTTTGCCACCGCGCTCATCTTTGCCGGCTCGGCCGTCGGCGGCATCCTGTGGCCGATTCTGTTTACACAGATGCTCGAGCGCATCGGGTTCCGGTGGACACTCAGGGCGTGGGCGCTCATGCAGCTCGTCGTGACTGGCGGCGCAGTATCGTGCCTCCAGCCCGGCTGCAGGCTCGAAAGCACCCAAAGGCCGATTCGGTGGAAGCGTATCGTACCCGGCTTTCCGCGCTCGCTCCTCTCGCCGCTCACCCTGCTCAACGCCGGCGTGATCCTCACCCAGACCACAGCGTGGTACTCGGTGTCGCTCAACATCTCCAACTACGCCACCGCCATGGGCTTCAGCAGCGCCACCTCCACGGGCGTGCTCTCGGCATTCAACGCTTCGGCGGCGGTGACGTACTTTGTGCTCGGCTACCTCGTGGACCGCTTCCCCTACCCGCTCATCATGGCCACCTCCACCACGCTCAACCTCGTCTTCACCGTGCTCGTTTTCGGGTTTGCCGGCGGCTCGCTCACCAAGATCATCGTCTACGTCGTCTTCTTCGGCATCTCGGGCGGAGGGTTCAGCTCGTTCCTCACGCCCATGTCGCGCGAGATCAAGGACAAGGCGCAGTCGGACGAGTTTTCGCTGCGCTTCCTCTACCTCGTCTGCATCCGCGGGCTCGCAGCCATGTGCGGACCCATCATCGCGGTGCAGTTCTACCCGGACCAGCTGAGCAAGCCGTCGGCGTACGGCAGCTTCGGCTTCACGCCCTTCATCGCCTTCATCTCGGCCACGCTGGCGATTTCGACGCTGGCGTCGCTCGTCGTGTTTGTCTACAAGCGCTACAACCAGCCGCGGCTGCAACGGCGCAAAGCCAGCCTACCTGTCACGCCGCCGCCCGAGCCCAGCTCCGCGGTGTGAAGAGAATACGGGTTGTTCGTGTCATGCATTTCCACCAGGTCTAATAACGTCATCGTTCCGTGCTCGGTTTTCTAGTGTGGCGGTTCTAGTGGCTGGGTTTGTCGTGGATCATGTAGGGCCAGTCTACGAAGCCGCGCTTTGCTCTTGGTTCGTCGATCTGGTCGATGCCGAGGATTCGGAAGCCGGCCTTGAGGTAAGCGCCTTTGCCCATGGGGCTCGACTCGAGCCAGGCGTCGACGCCTTGTTTGTCGGCGCGCTTGACTCCCCATGCGAGCAACATGGTTCCGAGTCCCTTGCGCTGGTGTTGGGGGTCGATGCAGAGCAGCTTGAGGAACCAGTAGGTCTTGCCCTGCATCGTGTCTTCGCGTCGACGCCACATCTGCGCCATGAACCGGTTGAGCAGGTTGGGGTCCTTTTGCTCCTTGTCGTTCCATTCCGGTGCCTCGGGTGGCGAGGATGGGTCCAGACGACGCCATACACCGAAGCCAGCCAGCACCGAGCCAGCGGGCAGGCTTGAGGAATCCTCCTCGTCGGCTTCCGGCACCGAGTCAGGCACCAAGTAGGCGCCGACGTAGCTGTAGATGCGCTTGTCGTACAGCTCGTACTCGGACTGGACGCGCTTGGCTTTCCGCTCTTCCGGGGTCGCAGGTTCACCTGTCTCGTCCTGCGCTTCACTGGCCAGGATTTGGCTGATCTCGTCTGGGGTGGTGTTGGTGGGGTCATTGAAGGCCGCATGCTGAACGTGCACCACTTCGGGGATCTCGCTGCGCCGGATCAGGCGTAAGACGTAGCGGCCGGTCATCGTGCTCTATGGGGAAAAGATATCGGGGGGGAGACGAGGAACAGAGGCAAGCGTGGGGGGATGGCTTCTTGTACGACCTAGCATGACCATCGGCGGGGTGTGGTCCGAGCGGGCTATGCAGTCCTTCCAACGGCATCCCAATCGGCCCGGCATGGCAAGCTGGCGATTCGCACGCGTCACGCCCGCCCTCGCACAAATTCGCGCCTCGGACTCAGCCGCCTCTCTCCTCCGCGGATGCCCTCGTCGCCACCACGACCTTGGCGCAACCGATGCAACAGCATGTAACACCACCTCCCGACACTGCCAAGGGCAAACGCAAGGCGAGCAATGCATCCGACACCTCAACCGATGACTCGTCGGGATGGTGTTTGATCTGCCACTCTGACGTGGTGGATCGGGCGGTGCTTCCGCGCTGTCTGCACTCGCAATTCTGCTTCCTGTGCATCACGCGCTGGTGTGCCATCAAGCCGCGCTGTCCGCTCTGCCAAGCCGACATTGGCGAATACATCATCCACGCCATTCGCGACGATACCGACTACATCCGCTACCACCTTCCTCCCTCTGTGCCCTCGGCCTCTACGTCGCAAGGGGTGGTACGCAGGCGGCACATCGTGTCGCAGGTGCAGCGCGCTCGAGCGCAGCGGCATACACACTCGGAGGCCGAGGTGCTCGAACGGCGTAAGCACATCTACCGGCACGGACTGTACGCTCGACACGTCGGCAGCAACAGGCACACATCGTATCGGGCGCCACCCACGCCCGAGCAGATCAAGCACGACGCAGCCACGGGTGGGGCGGTGGCGCGGAGGATCGCCAGCTTTGTTCGACGCGAGCTGCACGTCTGGCCGCACGTGGATGGCGAGTTCCTCACGCGATATCTGGCGTCGCTGTTGCAGGTGTTTGGCGTGTCGAGCGACGAGGCGGTGCAGCTGCTGGGCGAGTTCCTCGGCGAACGCACGGCACGCCATCTGCTCCACGAACTCGAGTGCTTTCTGAGGAGCGGAAAGACGGAACTGGCCAACTACGATGCGAGTCCCTGGTTGCAGTATCCGCCACCCAAGAACAGCGCGCGCCGAGGCCGGGGTGAGGGTACGGATGGTGCGGAGGCGGCGAGGGACGAGGTGGCACGGCGCAGACAGGTGCTGCTCGACAGGCTCGAGCGCGAGCGTGCGCTCCTAACACAGAACCAGCAGTCCCGGCCAGGTGCGGAATAGATGCATAGCCATGGATCCCGTCTGCCCAGCTTTGTGCGTCGATGGTGTGAAGAAGTGGATCGGTTTGGTGCGAATTTGAGCGAGGGGCAAAGTAAGAGATAAGATAATGCGGGCCGATGGACCGGTGCCTCTCTCTCGGACATGGCCGACGCCGTCCGGCGGTCCGAGCATCCCCCTTGTTCCCTTTGCTCTTTGCCTTGAGGACATATATAATCCGCCTCTTTCCACCAACCTTGCATTCTTCCAACCGTATCCACCATGACTTGCCTGCACTACGGACACACTCCCTCGGCGCTGGCATCGCGGCTGCTGGGCGTGATTCACGAGTCGATCATCCCGCTCACCACCGCCGGCGTCTCTCGCGGGTGCAAAGTATTCGGCGCGGCGATCCTTTCCAAGTCCACGCTCTCCGTCGTTGTCGCTGCGACGAACGATGAGCTGACCTCGCCGCTCTTGCACGGCGAAGTGACGACGCTGCTGGAATTCCACAAGCTCAACTCGTCCTTGCCGGTGGAGCAGAGGATTGATCCTCGAGACTGCGTGTTTGTCTCGACGCACGAGCCGTGTTCGCTCTGCCTTAGCGCCATCACCTGGTCGGGCTTTGACAACTTTTACTATCTCTTCACGTACGAGGATACGCGCGCGACGTTTGCCATCCCACACGACATCAACATCCTCAAACAGGTCTTCCAAACCCACAAGCACGATCCAGACGACGCTCCGCTGTACAACGCCACCAACGACTTTTGGTCCAGCTCGTCCATCCAGCAACTCATCACCCAGGCCGACGAAACACAACGACCGCAGTTGCAACAGCAGATGCAAGACGTCAAGGCAGAGTACAACGCCCTGTCGGATACCTACCAGCAGTCCAAATCCACACAGGCACCTTCACAAATCCCACTCAACTGAGTTGATACGCGCCGGGAATACGATACAGTACAATATCTTAGGGGGATGGTGGGGGGCTAGGTCATGTGGGCACCGATCTTGGACCTCCAGCCGGGGGCGCGCTCGAACCCGTTGCTGCCGGTTTGAAAGTCGATGAGCGTCTGCTGGATCTCGTTCCTACTCGTCATGACAAACGGTCCGTACTGGACCACTTGCTGATCCAGCGGTTCGCCCGCCACCAGCACCAACCTTGCCTTTCCCTCTCCCGCATTTCTGATCCTTACTCCCTCTTCTCCGCGCTGGGTGAGGACGAGAGTATGGAACGGCTCGATCTTTTCGCCCTCCACCGCCTCCGTTCCTCCACCAAACGCCGCGCGGGCGGGAGCATCGACGGGCGTGGAATCGCCCACCACCACCATACCCTCGAGCGTGTAGATGAAGGCGTTGTATCGCGGGTCGAGCTTCTGGAACACTGTGCCCGCAGCATCGAGTGTGATGTCGAGGAACGTCATGCCGCCGTTCTTGGGCAGCTTGATGGGCGACTCGACACCGTGCGACTCGCCAACAACTACCTTGACTTCGAAGCCCTCTTCATCCTGGTCCCCCGCGACTTTTGCGGTGGGAATAGCGGCTGAGCGGTACTCCTGGTAGCTTGGCGGTTCCTTCTTGGCTTCCTTGGGCAGATCTACCCACAGCTGCAGTCCGACGGGATCGGGAAGCTTGTTTCCGCTCGCGTCGCGGTGGATGGGCATCTCGGCATGCATGATCCCGTGCCCCGCATTCATCCACTGCACATCCCCCGGACCAATCGTACCGGCATGGCCTGCAAAGTCTTCGTGCTGCGATTGGCCTTCCAGAATGTAGGTGAGGGTAATTTGACCTCTATGCGGGTGGTCGGGGAATCCAGCGCCTTCGGTGATGCGAAAGTGGTCCAGCATGAGGAACGGCGAGATGTTGCGCAGCGCCGGCGTGCCGATCGAGCGCCTCACCACCGCCCCCGCTCCTTCGGCCGTCTCGATGCTGCGCACCTTCTTGGCGATTCCGCGCGACACTGCTCGTGCCATCGACATTGTTGCTGGCCCAGTAGCCGAGGTGGAGAAGAGGAGTGCGACGAAAGGCTGCGCCAGAACCGCAACCAGAAGACTGAGGATGACTGTCCAACCGAGCGAGAATGAGGCTGGCTTGGGCTTGGGCTGCGTGGGTGTAGCGGATACTCGCATGAGACGCCGCTATCAATCGTGTCGTTGTTGGAAAGAGTGGGGGCACAAGCGAAGATCGAGGCTCCATTTATACGTCCAAGGAAGCCAAGGGCGGCGGCTTCGGAGATTGCCAAAATCCGTCACCACCTCTCCACTTTGGCACTGCAACGCGGGGTTACAGTCGATCAGCCCGATATCGCCGCTCCAACCCAGCGCTGCTCGTTCGATCGATCCCCTCGGCCATGCCAGTCGTCTTGGAGGCGCTTCTCGACCATCACCGTAGCTGATCTTGCAAACGCTGTGCACTCGTTCTTAGGCCCGGTCAGCGTCTTACGCCCGGTCAGCGTATGCTATGATTCGCCCTTCCGCCTTCCCTTGACGGACCACCAAGGTGTGATGTTCACGGAGCTGGCTGGGGGCCATCACACGCGCACGCATTGACTGAGCTCAAGTCTCCCGACTTGCACATGCAGCCACACTCCGTCTCGAGCCACATCCACTGAACAGTGCCGTCCGATTGAAAAAGTGCATGCGCGCGCTACTCGACGTAAAATGTAAAGCTGTTGAGCATCTTTTGCGAGACGGCGAGGAACTCCTCGGCGGTCTGCCAGGTGCCTGCGACGCTCTTGAGTTCGTTGCCCATATCCTGCAGCACAAACGCCCACTCCTGGATCGGCTGGCCGAGCAGCATCGCGCCCTCATCGAGCGTGCCGTGCTGGAGCCAGCAGTCGCTGCTCGACTCGAACTTTGCACTGGCCTTCTCCTTGACTCCCTCTCCCGGACTGGGTCGTTCGGCATCGAGATGCAGACACTGGTCCGAAATCAGCTCCACCGATCCCTCGCGCACCTCGGCATCGCATCGACACACGGTCCTGCGACGCTGCGCCAGCGGTCGCTGCAGTCGACACAGGATCACCAAGATGCCGAATGCCTGCCCGAGACCCTCGAGGATCGTCGGGGTCACATTGGACAGTCGCGGCATCGACATGAAGTTGCCGATCACCGCTCCGGCATGGAGGGCAGCCCAGCGCTGCAGGCGCGCGTTGCGATAGGGGCACATGTCTGCATCCGTGCAGCTCTCGCAGCGCAACGGCACCGCAGTCTGCATGCCCGCTCGAACCGCTGCCGCCTTTCCACCTTGACCGACGCCGTTGGCCTCTTCGTTGCCACACGACGACACGAGCGCATGCACCACATGGTGCGCATTGAACAGCACCGACAGCTGGATCACGTGGAACCTGAAATGCAGCTGGAACCGGTCGTTGATCGGTCCAATGCTCTGTACGCCTGGCTTTGCTGCCACCCCTGCATCCGTCGACGATCCCGACTTGTCTGCGGCCGCGCTCGGGCCATCGCTGCTGATGGGCTGGCTGAAGCCGGTACCGTTGGCGACGGGGTTGGGCAGGTACGACTGGTGGCACAGCCGCATCCACCTCGAGAGCGCCGCGAGCATCATCTCGTTGTCGAGCACGTTGAGATGGTGGTACGCCGTGCCGCCCTTGATGCAGAACGCCGACTCGATGCCCGGTGCAAACGTGGGCTGCGACGGGCTGAAGTCGGCGGCGTACGACGTGCCCGTTCGGAACGGCGGCATGTACCTGGCGATCCACAGCAGATGCAGTCCCTCGAGCAGCGTCAGCAGCGCAAAGTGCTCCTTGATGGTAAAGCACAGCATGCGCTGCAGCTCGCGCTTGGCCTCGAGACTGTCCAGCTCTCCGCTCTCGCCCGAGTCGCGCCGCCCGGCCGTGGCGGGCGAGGGGGCATCGACGCCCCAAAGCGCATCCAGGATCGGTCCCAGCTGTCGCTTGCCCGCCAGTAATGGACGCTGGTGGTTTTCGCGCCGGCTCTTGTGTTCCAGCACGAGCCGCGCCCATTCGATCGCCGTCTTGGCGTCCCAGACATCGTCGGCGCTCGGCACGAGCGCCTGGCACGTGATCCGGCCCATGCTGCGCATCTGTCCGTGGCTGGTGAGAAACTCCGAGTGGTGCGACTCGGTGATGCCGTGGCAGATCATGTTGCGATTCACCTCCTCCGCATCCGACCACTGCTTCCACACGCCGTGCAGCCGATCCAACAGCCTCTTTTGCTCCGCCGATAGCCTGTTGGTGCTCTGATCCCTCGCGAGAACCTCGAGCTCCACCAGCGCCATCTGAATGTTGGCACCAAGCACACGCTGCAGCGACTCTTCCCACGGCCCTACGAGGAACCACACTCCTTGGCGCCAGCCGTACTCGCGGATGAGCGAGCTGCCCGTATACGTGCTGTGGATCGACTTGCGACGGATGTTCTCGTCGCGGCACATGAACGCGTACAGATGCGTGTAGGCCATGACGGCCGTCGCCTCGCGCATCAGCTGCGGCTGGTCGAGGTAGAACACCGCGCCCGCCCAGATGCTGCGAAAGATGAGCTGCCACAGCTCGGCGCCGTACGCCTTGACGTCGGCGCGCGGCTGCCAAAGCGTCCCCAGCGCGAGCAGCGAGATGAACACGTACGGCCGTTCGGCAGCCAGGCGACGGTGGTCAAGCAGCCAGTACGACGGCAGCAGCGGCAGCATCGACCGCGTGTGCCGCGTGGCGGCGCTGAAGAGCGAGGCGGCAGTGAGCCGCGGCGGCTTCTTGGGGATGTTGACGCCGTGCAACACCAGATCGCGCGTGCGCGCCCCAATGTTCGTCGCCGCCTGGTCGCCCACCTTTTCCACCGAGCGCGTCATCTCGTCTGCATCGTCCATGCCCGCATGCGCATGGCGCGGCGTCGCCGGCGTCGACCGCCCCGAGTTGTGCGCCGAGTCGGTAAATGTGGCGAACGGCACCAGATTCACCAACGGCTGTGGTGGCTGCTGCTGCTGCTGCTGCTGCGAGCCCGAAGTGGTCGTTGCAGATTGCACCTCTGCAGACTGTGCGGACTGACCTTGGTTCTGATCCTGCTGGAGTGGCGCTGGCTGCTGTTGATGCTGCTCTTGCTGTGCTACTGCTGATGGCGGCTGGGTTTGGTGCTGCGTCTGCTGGCTCGGCTGCTGCACCTGCAACGAGTTTTGCGCCGAGGGCATCACCTGGCCCGCGCTGCCGGCATCACCAAACCCAAATGCATCCTGCGTTATCGCAGCGCCCGTGAGGTTGTGCAGATCCGGCGCACCCACGGTCTCGTGCGGCACAAACGTCGAGATGGAATCCATAAGGATGGACTGGAGAATGTCGTCAAAGAACGTCTGCGCCTCGGTATCCGAGTTAGACGAGCCCCACGAGGGGGACGGTGCGGTGAGCGATGCTATCGAGAGCGGAGCGGCTGTCTGTGACGCATCGCCCGATGCTGCTGAGCCATAGGTGTTTGCAACCGCGAGCGCATCCGCGCCCGCCGAGGAGGAAGAGGCGGCGGCATAGCCATTGTACGAGATGGGCGCGCCGTACAGATTCGGGTAGAACGAGAAGGAGGAAGAGGCAGCAGCGTTGTTCGAGTCGTACATCGACGACTGTGCCGGCTGGGATGGCCACTGGCTGTGACTGACGGCGGACGAGTCGCCGTTGTTGGACTGTGCCGCTTGAGGTGCGGAATCGCTGCGCTGATACGGGTGGTAGTGGTGCGCGCGGGTGTACATGGAAGTCGTCGGCTCCGTTGCGGCCGCTAGGCCATGATGACGCGAGGACGACGGCGACGAGTAGTTGGAACCGGACGACCGTTGGTTGGACAGGGCCGAGGGCGTGTTGTAGCTGCTCATCTGGTGCGATGTGGCGGAAGCGGAGGCGGTCGCACCGCGTGAGAGCGGACTGGTAGCGCCGCGCTTGACCGAGATGAACGGCTTGGCGTCATCGTCTCGCATCGAGATGTCGAGGTCATCGATCTGATCGTCCGCCTCGTCGTCCGACTTTGCCGAGCTGTCGGCGTCTGCATCGCCGCCGATGCGCACTGCGGCGAGGTTGGGCTGGTCCGGATGGATGCGCTTCTTGTGACGCTGGAAGCTGTCGATGCGCTTGAACTCCTGGTCGCAGTCCGGACACTTCCACACCGCCTCGTCCGAGTGCGACAGGAGGTGACGCCGCAGATGCACCGGCTTGGAGAAGAGATAGTCGCATCCGGCGTGCGGACACGAGATGGTCTTGGGCATGGTGAGGGCGCGTCGTAGACACGGTGGATGCGGCGACAGAGGCGGTAGGGCTAAAGATGCATGTTGCGCTGAGCAGTTCAAGCTCCCGAGCGGGTGTGGAGCTTTGGTTGACGGTGTAGGGAATGGTGGGTGGTGATCAGCAGGTAGGATGCAATCGCAGCTCGCTGGAGCAAGCGGATGCGAAGGATGTGGAGTGAGTGTGTGCGATTGAACCACGATTGAACCCTGGGGCAGCGGCTCGGCTCTGCTCCATTTTACGGGCTACAAATTCCTGTAGCAGCGCCTCTCACCGGCCTCACAATGCAGAGATGCCATCGGAAAAACGGCGAGAAGGCTGCGAAGGCTGCGAAGGCTGCGAAGGCTGCGACGCAAGCCGAGCTGTCAAGCGCTTTGTGGAGAAGAGCAAAGGCCACGTCAGCGGGCGTCGTGGAAGCCTGTTTCACGTCCTGCTTCTGCGAGGACTTGCTGCGGGCGAGGCATGCTTTGCGACGCTCGACGTACACTAGTGAGCCCAACAGACCGAGCCCATTTCACATGCTGTGCCCACCAGCAGGGTCTGACGACCGGATGCGGTGGTAACGGAGCGGCGCGTCGGTGGTAACGACTCGGAGCTATGCTCGGAGCGCACTCCATTCTCTGTGCGAGGCTTTTGTGCGAGGCTTTTGTGCGAGGTTGCCGCCCTGCTCGCTTCCCCGCACTCGGGTGGCTGTTTGGCGTTTATTTTTCAAAGTCGTCGAGTTCTGCCGTCCCACCTCTCAATTACTGCCCGGCGTGAAAGCGCGGATGCGCACAGGCCCTTGTTCGCTCGCAACCTCATAAGACCCTCTCCTCTGCGCTTCATCTTGATCCTTCATCACCTCGTCACCGTCGTCACTGCTTCGTCTCCGATCATGAGCAACCTCAACGTTGCTGCCATCACCGAGCGCTTCGGCGGCTACTACAACCAGGTCACCTCGACCAAAGCTGGATCGGCTGCACTTGCCGTGTTTGCGCTCTATGTGATCCGCAAGTTCTTCCAGCGCCGCAAGCGCATCGCTGCACGCAAGGCGTGGTCCAACCCCAGCCGCGAGGTGGCCGTCATCACCGGTGGCTCTGGCGGTATCGGTATGGAAGTCGTCAAGCGTCTCGCAGCAAAGGGGGTCAAAGTAGCCATCTTTGACCTGAGCCCTCCCAAAGACAGTCTCCTCTCCAAGACCGTTCGCTTCTACAAGGTCGACATCACCGACTACGACAGCGTCGTCGAGGCTGGAAAGAGCGTAGAGTCGGATCTTGGCCCTGTGACGATTCTGGTCAACAATGCAGGCGTTGCCAACCCCGGCGCGAGCATCCTCGACTTCGACCCCAAAAAGACCAAGCTCACCATCGACGTCAACCTGCTCTCGCACTTCTATACGCTCAAGGTCTTCCTTCCCCACATGATCCGACACAACCACGGCCACATTCTCTCCACTGCCAGTGCTGGATCCTTCATGATGCCCGCAGGCGGCGCAGACTACGGCGCGACCAAAGCCGGCCTTGTTGCACTCCACGAAACGCTTCAGCTCGAGCTCGAGCTGCTCTACCAGAACCGCAAGGGCGTCCTGTGCTCCATCGCGCATCCCTACTGGATCCGCACACCGCTTTTGGATACCATCTTCAAGCCCGAGGCGCTGTCAAAGATGATCAAGCCCGAGCTCGTCGGCGAGCGCATGGTGGAGCAGCTCCTCGGAGGTCAGGGCGGAAGCCTGTACATTCCCGGCTGGATCGGTCATCTCGCTTGGCTCAGGGTTCTTCCTCATTGGCTCCAGCACCGCATTCGCATCGACGCCACGCTCGACCTCCAGAAGTCCAAGCACGAGGCTCGCCCCAATCCCCCCATGCCCTAGATCCCGCCCGGACATCTTCGCTAGACACGTATCTATCAATGCTTAATGGAACAGAGACGCAATTTCCGGCTCGGCGACTGATTCATTGTCTGGACGGTCTGGCGTAGAATCGACACCTCCCTGCTCAGCTCTGTGTGTTCCACCAGGTTGGTCGAGGAGCCGACTGTGTGCCGCACAGCCTCATTCGTGCATCAACCTCTTCGCGAGACTCCGCGCGCCTTGACTCGGCTTCAAACGCAACACATCCGGTACAAAAGAGGATTCGATCCCGTGCCATTGCGAGCCAAACATGGCCAAGTACAGCAGGGAATCGTGCGGATCGCCATGGATGGGTCTTGGGGTGAGAAGAACCGCAACGTGGAGGGTGACGAGTGGTGCGCGGTCACGCTGTGACACCAACAATAGCACTGACCTGGCCAAGCTCGCAAGGAGCTTCTTCGGCAACGAGCAGCTTGCTCTTCCGGACAATGACGACCTCGGCTTCGGCCTTGATGACGAGATTGCGCCAAGGCGACGCGCCCGACTGCATTGCTTGCTCGACGAATCCTCCCACGTTCAAGACTCGAGAGAAGGATACGAAGCCAGGGAGCCGTCGTGCAGACTCGCGAGTAGCGTCGAGGAAGCAAAGGGGAACGCAGAAGAAGACCCAATTTGTACGTGTGTTCGCTTGGCCGAGGTCCTTCTTTCCTCGGTAGACGAGTGCAGCATACGACACAGCCAATGCGCCAGCGGCGAAGACCTCAAGCTAGCGCCGCTCGACTTCTTCTTGGCTCTGCAACTCGACCATATCCTGTTCCCCATCTGTAAATTGGTTCTGAAGCATGGTCGTCGCGGCGAGTTCCTGACACTGCACGGGAAGGATCACCTTGCTTGTCACTCGCCGATCGACCGGCCGCGTCTTTTCATCGGGAGAAAGGGGGTCCTAGTCACGATGATCTCGAATGCATGATGCTGGACCGGGATCGTGTACTGGACAGTCAGAGGGCCCGCTGGTTTCTAAGACACGTTGCTCGCCATCGTCGCTGAGGTGTCGGTTGAAAGAGGCCGTAGAGATGGTGAGAGGGAAGCAGGGGGCGCAAGTCGCATCGACCTTATATCCTTGATGGGTCCCTTGCCCTGCGCACGTTGCGGAACAGTGCGGAACTGCGGGTGCTTGATACATCGACGCTACGTTCGGAGGAGGTAGCTGCTCGCTCCACCTTCGCATGAAGGTCGGCGGCGATCAAGCACGCGCGACAGCACGCAGCTGTAACAAAGTTCACCAAGCCGCTCTCGCATGCAGCTTGAGTCCGCACGCGAGCGGCAAGTGACAGGCACTTTCTTGCGCGTGTTGAACCCCCCCGGGACGATTGCACTTGGGCGCTGATGCTAGGCAACACACGGCAGAGGGGTGGGTAAGATTGAATGAATGAGATCGAGTATCTGTGCACAGTGTGGGCGTGTGGGGGTGTCTAATGCCGGTGCCGGGCTGCCATCAACACCGCGCTCGAGCGGCGACTCTTACCGGAGTGATGATTGCTTACGCCGCCTGACGCGCGCTGCTCATCTTGGCTGCTTCGCAACGCAGCGAATTGCCCGTCCACACGCGAACGGCAACGCCGAGCTGTACAGCATCTTCGTACCCCCTCACACGCGCGTTGGCACGCATAGCACAGCGGCGCACTCGAATCTACATCCCTCTTTCCATTGAGCATCTACTCTAGGCGTCGTTCTTCTTGATCATGACAAAGCACAGCGGCCATCTGAGATGCAGCTTCTCCACCTCCTTTCCGCCATTGGCCCTTTGCACCTCTTCCTTCAACCTGCTTACGAAACTATCTACGACATCCCTGCCCTGCTCGTCCTTGTCGTCATGCTGGGCGAGGTAGGTGTGTGCGGCGCTCCACGTCCTCATATAGCTTGCGAGCTGATCCCAGTTGAGGATCTTATCCATCGTGGCGTCTTTCTGCTCTCCCTCAAACTGGCGCTTGACTTGCTCGTCGAGCTCGGCGGTGAGGGGGGTTGTGGTGAGGGGAGGCCATTCGGGCCAAATTTGGTCGGTGGCAAGTCCCGACGTGGAGAAGGTTCTTTTGAATGCCGAGGCTGCGTTCCAGTGCGCGGCGATGTCCGGGTATGTGGTGGGGAACGGGATGGGCGAAAGGCCTTGGTTGACGATCGATCGGCCAGGTTGTTCCCAGTACTCGCCGATTGAATCCACCTCTTCTGACGCAAGAGGGGATGCGGGGGCTTGTCCGTCTCGAAGCGCAAAGCGGTTGAGCAGCGATCGAGTAGAGGGAAAGTCGGGCAGGAAGAAGTCCGGGTATCCGTAGAGACAAACGCTTCCTCCAGGCCGCAGTACACGGGTGATCTCGCGCCAGAACTTGGGGTAATCAAACCAATGTGCCGCCTGCCCCGCCGTCACCAAGTCAACACTCGAATCCTCCAGGAATGAAAGTTGCTCTGAGTAGCCCTGTTGATACTCGACCTTGCCGAGCTTTCCTTTAGCTCCATCAGCCACATTGGGAACCAGGTGACGAGGCAGGCCCGGGGTGGTGGGGGTGATTGCTGCATCGACCATCTTTGCGGAAGGATCCAGACCAATCACGCGGTCAAAGTGGGGGAGCAGTGAGATGGTTGAGATCCCAGGTCCACAGCCCAAGTCCAACGCCAGGGAGGACTTGCCGTTGGGGCGCGGACCAAAGTGGTAGAGCAGCACCTTGTCGTGCACCCATCGTGGATACGAGGGTCGAAAAGCCAAGTACGCCGCTGCGTCAAAGGTTGTCCTTGAAAACGTTGCCATGATCTATGATGTCTGCCAAACGAACGGTGCAGAAGAAAGGAGAGGGGGGGGGGGGGGGAA